GTGGTGGTAAGTGGTGGTGGTAAGTGGTGGTGGTAAGTGGTGGTGGTAAGTGGTGGTAAGTGGTGGTGGTAAGTGGTGGTAAGTGGTGGTGGTAAGTGGTGGTAGTAAGTGGTGGTGGAAAGTGGTGGTGGTAAGTGGTGGTGGAAAGTGGTGGTGGTAAGTGGTGGTGGTAAGTGGTGGTGGTAAGTGGTGGTGGTAAGTGGTGGTGGTAAGTGGTGGTGGTAAGTGGTGGTGGTAAGTGGTGGTGGTGGTAAGTGGTGGTGGTGGTAAGTGGTGGTGGTGGTAATTCGTGGTGGTGGTAATATGAGTGGTGGTGGTAATATTGGTGGTGGTGGTGGTGGTAATTCGTGGTGGTGGTAATTCGTGGTGGTGGTATAATTCGTGGTGGTGGTAATTCGTGGTGGTGGGTGGTGGTGGTAATTCGTGGTGGTGGTAATTCGTGGTGGTGGTAATTCGTGGTGGTGGTAATTCGTGGTGGTGGTAATTCGTGGTGGTGGTAATTCGTGGTGGTGGTAATTCGTGGTGGTGGTAATTCGTGGTGTGGTGGTAATTCGTGGTGTGGTGGTAATTCGTGGTGTGGTGGTAATTCGTGGTGGTGGTAATTCGTGGTGGTGGTAATTCGTGGTGGTGGTAATTCGTGGTGGTGGTAATTCGTGGTGGTGGTAATTCGTGGTGTGGTGGTAATTCGTGGTGTGGTGGTAATTCGTGGTGGTGGTGGTAATTCGTGGTGGTGGTGGTAATTCGTGGTGGTGGTAATTCGTGATGGTGGTAATTGGTGATGGTGGTAATTTTGGTGTTGGTAACATTGGTGGTGGTAATTTTGCTGTTGGTAATTTTGCTGTTGGTATTTTTGGTTTTGGTATTAGTGGTGGTGCTGGTATTATTGGTGGTGGTGGTGGCTGTTGTGGCTGTTGTGGCTGTTGTTGCTGTTGTGGCTGTTGTAGCTGTTGTAGCTGTTGTAGCTGTTGTGGCTGTTGTAGCTGTTGTTGCTGTTGTTGCTGTTGTTGCTGTTGTTGCTGTTGTTGCTGTTGTTGCTGTTGTTGCTGTCGTTGCTGTTGTTGCTGTTGTTGCTATTGTTGCTGTTGTTGCTGTTGTTGCTGTTGTTGCTGTTGTTGCTGTTGCTGTTGGTGTTGTTGGTGCTGCAGTTGTAGTTTTAGTTGTGGTGTGGTGCGGTGCGGTTGAAAAGTGGTCCGGATGTGGTGTGGTTTTCAAATGTTGACTTCGAAATGTGCTTCGGGCTGCAACGGTGTGCCCTTTTTGAAAATCTCAACGTCCAAAAGTGGCACGAACATGTGATGCTTTTGGCATGTTCACTTCGAGATGTGTTTCGCGCCAAAATGCCGTGCGCTTTTTCAACATCTTAACTTCCAAGAGTGCTCCGAACCCGCTGTGTTTTTTTGCCTTTTGACTTCCACCTGTGCTTCGCGCCACAACGGCGTGCACTTTTTAAACATCTCAACTTCCAAAAGTGCTCCGAGCATGGTGTGCTTTTAGCATTTTGACCTCAAAATGTGTTTCGCCCCACAACGCCCTGCACTTTTTCGTTCATCTGGACTTCCAAAAGTGCTCCGAACCCGAGATGTTTTTTAATATGTTGACTTCTAAATATGCTTCGTACCACAGCCGTGTGCACTTTTTGAACATCTCAACTTCCAAAAGTGGTCCGACAATGAGGTGCCTTTTGCACTTTCACTTCAAAATCTGTTTCGCACCACAACGGCGTGCAATTTTCATCTCTCATCTGACCAGATGGCTCCGCACCCGCCGCTTTAGCGAGCCTACTTTTCGAGCCTCCGGAGCCCCAAAACATTGGAAAAACACAATGTTTCGCGACTTTTCTACCTTTTTGCGCACCTTCATCTTCTTTCTTCTTGCTCTTTCTCTTTTCACTCCTTTTCTTCGCTGACTCTTACGACTCGGGGGTCTAACAAAAAGAGTCTCCCCCCAACATGGCCTTTAAAAAGGACATGGCACAAACACATGAACGTGACATGAAACAAAAAGAAAACATGAGTGACATATAAGTGACATAAGCAAAAATCTTCCTACTCTGTGGCAGTATATCGCGGCCAAATTTGCTGTGAGACCACGAGTGCAAACACCAAGAGCAGCTAGGATTCTGGACACCCAAAAATCCAACACAAGTCCCACACATAGGAAAGAAATGAGGAAAGAAAGGGACACTACTGAAGGTGGCCAGTTTGTATCGCTTTTCAAGTTGGAACTGCGCACCTAGCTCTGGAGAGAAACATGACAAGTTTTGATGAAGTTTGTTTTTGGCACTAGGGCATTATCGCCCCAATACGATCCTCACAGCATTATCCTACTATGACCACGCCTGGTGAAACATCATTTGACCAAAACCAGACAGGAATGGAAGAGGTTGAGTCCGGAACACCAAGGTTTTCAAAGCGTGGTAAGGGCCAAATTCAGGAATCAAACGACAACGGGGAGGGGACTTCAAAAAAAAATACTCTTGTGCAACTAGGTTTGACGATCTCTGCAGTAGATTGGGTTGGAGTGGCAATTCAACATACTCACATTTTTTCAAGCACGGTTCATCCCTGAGAACAGCGAAAAATGCCAAAGCAATGATGAAACAAAACATCAGTCATCAGACCCGATGATATATTAAGATTAGTATTTCAGTATCCACTTGCAACAAAGAGGAAAAAGGGCAAAAAAAATACCATCCTGATAGTCAAAAAGGTGGATAAAACAGCCTTCAATATCTTCAAATGGAAAGAAGACGAAAGAAACATCAACAAAAAAACACAGCCACTTCTCAATCTTCTAATACTTCTCCCAATCCAAGAATGCTTTGCCGAGTGTGTCGACTTGGCACTGGCCTCGGTGAGCCTCATTACTGCGGAGTTCTGCAGGTGCAAACGGTGCAGACTATGCACAGTCAGAGAACAGCGACTTTGAGTGGCGGATGTCACAAATGCAACAAACATCAATAAACATCAACAAACGACGCAAATGCATCAATCCACATGCACTGGGCACGCGTGAATGCGCATCTGTGTGTTTGAATTCCTTGCATCAAAGTGAAGGTTGAAGTAGCCATGGCACAACTGCACGACATTGAAGCCAAAGGTGATGATGAAAACGGATCTATGTAATCCATTGAATGCGCCTCCAAGG